ACAGGGGTCCTGCCAATCTCGTCTCTGGGTCTGGTTCTATATCAAGAATCCCAGGCTCATGAGGCAGGATACCTAGCAGATCTGTCCCTTCAGGGCTTTGGGATCATCACCTGTTAGCCTCTGAGCCTCACTTTCCTGGCCTTGAGTGGGGACAGTTCTTTGCTTCTCCTCATGGTCATGTTGAAAGCCAAAGACTGAGGAGCTACAGCTCCTCTGTTACTGTGGTCCCTGTAGATGTGGTTGGACCCTCCTTGCCTTGTTCCAGTCCCTTGGAAGCCTGGGTTCTTGGTTGGCTCATGTGCAACAGGTGATGCTGACCTCTCCCCAGGCCAGGAAGGACTGCAGAATGCTGCCCGCTGTGGACAGGTTCCAGGTTGAGCCACAGCCCCTACACAGTGTCCTTGACTCAGCTGCTGCCTTAGTATAAGCTCATTGCATTCTCCTCTTGGCCCAAGAGTGTTCACTGCACACATACTCATAACAGGTTTTACTGAAAACATGTCCCTCTGACAGTATGGCCTTCTATCCCTGCTAGATGGTTACCACAGCTCTGGCAGCCAGGAGCAGTCATATGTAGGGAAGCGGTCTAACCGAGTGGTGCGAACCCTCCAGAACAGTAAGTATAGGACGTAGCTGGACGGGGCGCCTCTGTGCTAGGTCAGCGTGGGCCTGAGGGCCTGGCTTTCATCTGCTGTCCTTGTGTTCTAGCCCCATCCCTGCACTCAAGGCACTGGGGAGCCCCCCAGCAGCAGGAGAGATGGCAGCAGCAGCACCAGGAGGAGCTGAGCGTCTCCCCCACCCCACTGGGACTGCAAGAGACCATTGCAGAGTCCTTGTATATTGCCCGGCCCCTCCTGCACTGTATCCTTAGTGTAGGGCTGCTGGCACTGCGGGGTAGGGACAGATGGGAGTGGGCAGGGCAGGCCCTGTGCTAGAGACATCCTTGACAACTTGGCCGTCAGTGCTCAGCCTGGGCCTATGGGGTCAGCGGTCGTGGACACCCTGGCTTCTGTCTGGTGTGGTCGACGTGACCAGGTGAGCCTGGACCAGCCTTGGGGCTCCACTCCCCCTGCTGGGCTTCGTGCTGCAGGCCTGGCCTCACCTGAGCAGGCAGAGGCCCCTGCTCCTCCCGTTGCTGGCCCTGATCGTGTTCCCTCTTCACCCCAGTCTGAGCCTCCTGAGTGACAAGAAGGGCCTGACTCGGAGGGAGCGGCTGGAGCTGCGGCGCCGGACCATCCTGTTGCTCTACTACCTGCTGCGCTCCCCGTTCTATGACCGCTTCTCTGAGTAAGGACCCAGCCTCAGCGAAGGCGACGGGAGGGAAGTGGGACACCAGTGCCCAGCCCTTGATCACACCTCCCCCTCCTCCCTCCTCCCATCCTCTGGGTTCAGTGAGCACTTGCTATGTGCTTCCCTGGGATGTAGTCACTCCCTCATTTACCAGATGCTAGCCCAGACCTGCCCTCCAAGCTCTCAGGGCCATCAGCCAATGTGTGTAGGAGCTTAAGCAGTTGTTGGCAGGAGATGCACCAAGGGCGGGGCCTCAGGGATGGTGGCGGGTGCAGGCTTTCCACACCTTCCAGCTCATTTGCACGTCTCCCTATCAAATAGTTTGGATTATCCCCACTCCTCACAGGAAGCACTTGAGGTTCAAAGAGGTTGGGCAGCTTAAAGCCACCCAGCTAGCCAGTGGCAGAGCCAGACCCCACATCCATGTTCTCTCCTGGCCCAGTCCCTGCCTTGCCCAGTCCCCACTCTTACCTGTGAGGGTCAAGAGCTCCCATCCTCAGCCAGACACAGAGAGGCCTGCTGGGGGTATTTGGAGGTGGCTCAGGGCCAGGGTGACAGCCTGAGGTCAGACTGAGATTTGAGATTTGGGGCCATGAGACAGACTGGAGGCTCCCAGGACCCTTCTGCCTAGGTTTTAACAAGTACGCTGCTTAAAGACTGGGATATGAATTGGAATTGTACTTTATACTATGGCCATACGACTTCTGTTTTTTTTCCTGAGACACTAGCAAGCAACCTTGCATCAGTGAAAATTATTTGGCAATTTCCTGCTTTCAGATAAGTTTGAAAGCTCATAAGGTACTAAAGCCAAACTCTATCCCATACTCTAGAGAGAACATTCCAGAGGCTTACATGGATCACATGACCTCCCCTAACAAACCACTTACATTTTACAGAGGAAGTATTATAGCTCAAGTATCTCATTGAACTGAGGAACTTTGAGACAGTAATTACAGAGGCGGCTTCCCGGGCTGCAAGTCTCCAGTTTGGCTCACTGTCTTGCTGACCTGAGTAGTTTGGTGCCCTCAGAGCAGCGGCCCAGACTGAGAAGGATCTAGAAACCTGTCAGAGAAAGTCTTTGTTTCCCCAGAGGACAGGAACAGGGTTGGAGGCGCCCTGGGGTACAGTCTGGGAGGCAGTCAGTCTCTCTATGCCTTTCTTGCCATCAGAGACAGTTTACTCTCTGCAGCCAGGCTGCCTTCCAGCTGTGAGCATCCCCGGCCTGTGGCTGGGGGAGGGCAGGACCAGCGCCACACCCAGAGGTCTTGTCCTTTGTCCTGGAGTCTGTCCTTGTTCTATAGTTTCTGTCTTCTGGGATGCACTGCCTGTGGTCAGAGGTCAGTGAAGGCTTGTTAGCACCCTGATTTGCTGGAACCCAGACTCCCTACTCAGCTTGCTCCCTGTTTATCTCCTCCTTGCAGGGCCAGAATCCTCTTCCTCCTCCGGCTGCTGGCAGACCGTGTTCCAGGCATTGGCCTGGTCACAAGTAAGCCTGGGGTGGGGTGTGATTATTATGGAGTGCCGTGGACTTCATGTGTGGCCCTGTCTTCAACAGTTTTCTCTTTGTCTCCTTGTAATTTGATTCTTGGCACAGTTGGGAGAGGGAGCCTAGGAGTCAGGTTGGATGGATGACAGCTCCTGGACATGGGCCAGGCTGGCCTGTAGAGCCTCAGGGGTGGCTGGAAGGAGGGTGCCCTGTGGTGGGATGAGTATTTGACCTCATCAGGCCATAAGCCATTTTCCTGACTCAGCGTCCTGAGGCGATACGACACCAGGGTTTCTGGGTGAAGAGTCTGGTGGGGATGAAGCCTGCTGGGCTGTTTAGAGATCCCACATCAGCAAAGAGCCACTGGGCTGGGCTGTCAGCATATACAGCTGGACAAGACGTGTGGCCTCTCAGCCTGAGAATCCTTGTCAGTAAATGGAGACAAGATTGCTGCCAATGCTGCTTCTCTAGGGGTGACGAGGTGGGAGAGTCAGGAGCTCGTGGCTGTGCAGATGTGAGCAGCTGAATCTGAGCAGCGGTTGGTTGAGAAGGTCCCGGGGTAGAGCAGAACCAGGAGTCTGGCCCTCAGCCCTGAACTTGTTCTTCTCTCTCACTGCAGGGCCACTCATGGATTACTTGCCCGCCTGGCAGAAAATTTATTTCTACAGTTGGGGCTGACAAGACATCCCAAGAGTGGGGGGCGGGGCGGAGTGGCATGCTCTGCTGCTGTGGGCAAGAGTACCTCAGCCCTCAGTCCCCTGGGCCCCTCTACCCTAATAAAACTGACTCTGGCAATGTCCCAACCTGTGGCCTGTCTGTGCCAACTGCCCAGAGTGCCCGGTACTCCCACCCTGGCCAGGCTCCACATACAGCCCTGGTCGCCACCAGAGCCCCTCGCATACTCTCTCGACTTTGACTGTACCCTCTGGTGATGGAGCCACTGCAGCTGCATATCACTGGGCGGAGATGTCTCAGGTCCGACTGGGACCCGGGCTCCCGCAGACCCGGGCTGGAGCCACAGAAAGCTGGAATTTAACCTCGAGCATGCGGAGCTGCTTGTCAGAGAAGCTGTGGGAGTAAACTGCCTCTTACCAGTCCTTGTTGATGACAACAAGGCTGAACCTGGGCAGTGAGTGCATAACAGCCAACCCTGTGGCTTCTGGCCAGACCTTTTGTCTGCCTCTTCGCCCTGCAGGGCCCTGTTGCCTGTCTGGGAGGGAGCCTGGTGAATGGTGGGCCCAGCTCAGTGCAGAGTGGCAGCTATTTCAATGCAAAAAGCTTTTCTCTTTTAGGAAAAGAATGTCAGGCACCAGCCAGCACTGGGGGTGATGCTGGATTGGGGGCTGGAGGAGGGAATGGAAGGTAAACAGGAGCCTGAGAAGCTCTGGGAGAAAGCTGGGCGCAGGTTCTGCTTAGTCTTTCCCTTTCTTAACCCCTGCCCCTGCCCACTTTGCCCTGTGAACAGACCACACTCTCCTGCTGGAGTTTCTAGCCGGAGGGGTGGCCCCTTAGGTTCTGAGGGGGCTGGGTCTGCACTGGTTCTGTTGTGCGTCACCTCCCAGACTCTCGGGTTGAGGGCCACCCCAGCCAGAGTGGCCAGCCTTTCCCTGACTGCTTTCCCCAGGTGCCTCCGAGAATCCCCCGACACCGGCCCTGGCCGGGGAATGAAGGTATCGAGCTTTGGTAGTCGCCGCTCGAGGCCCACATCCCGCTGAGTCTAACAGGTATTGCTGGGCCCTTGCTCTTTAGCCTTGTGCTGTGTAATCAGAAATGAGTAAGGCACAGTTCTTGCCCTCACTGATCGGTGGAGACAGGTGTGTAATTGCATGCAATGCACCGCATCGCTGCAGTAGTTAGAAGTGTGTGCGAAAAGTAGTCTAGACTTGGAGTGGGCGAATGGGGTGTCTGCCTGCCCAGGCTGATGACTGGGGAGGTGCAATGGTCAGGGAAGCCTCCATTCAAGCCAGCTTTTAAACTGGAAAATCTCCATCAGGTTTTCAATGGGCAGACTTTGAGAGGAAGCCCTGTGTCACAGTGGCATGAAGCCAATGCTAGGGCAGAAAGGAGTAGAGGGTGGTGAGCAGGGGGTGAGGCTGCAGGGGGAGATCAGGGCCGAAGCTAACAGGCTATCACATACCAGCTGAGAAACTGGGAGGCAGCAGGGAAGAGCCTGTTTCAAACCTCGTCGCAGCTACCCGGTGCAGGGTGGACTAGTGGGCAGAGATGGAGGCGAGGGGCACTGACATTGAGGGCAGAGACCTAGAACAGCAGATGGGCTGAATTAAGGCCACAGCAGGGGGTTAGAGAGGTTTTAGCCAGCCTTGGGACTGGTTGTGCCTAGAGAGGAAGAGGTGGCACCTCGGAGGCAAGCGGGGGGAAGGACGAGGGGTGTGGAGTTAGGCACTGAGTGTCCTGAACTCACAGGACAGAAAGGGAGGTGTTCAGTGAGAAGTCAGTGTGTAGGCTCCAAGCACAGGGAGCAGATAGAGTGAAGGAAACCTGAGCTGGTCAGCCTTGGGGGGCTACTCAGGACCAGGAGCCAGGGTTGGAAACAAGGGGCTTCCCTTTCTAACCTGGGGGCATCTCAGCAGTTAGAGGAATGGATTGGACCTGCCAGTAGATGTGTTTTAGAAGCATCGGGGTTTCCAAAGGTTTTGATCCCACTGGTCTGGGTGGGGCCTGGGGCTTGGTTTTAAAGCCTTGGGCTCTGGGCTTCTGCAGTGAGCCAGGTCCCCATTGCATTAAGGGAGGGCTGGGCAGGAACCAAAGGCCACACAGCTTTGCCTCAGGCCTATGGAGAGACTGTCTCCAGCACACTGTCACATTGTATTTATTCATTCGACAAATATGTACTGAGCATCCACCAGTGTCAGGTACTGGGGTCCTGTAGTCCCTGCCCTCTGAAAGCTGACACTCTAGAGAAGCAGGTTCCAGGATTTGCCACCTAACTTGAATCCCTCTGTCCAGCCTCGGGTGGTGGCAGGGCCTCTGGAGGCCCTGGGCCAAGCTGTTCTAAGCTGTGGGGAGCTAAGTGAGAAGTCCCTCCAAGTGCCGTCTGAGCTGGCCAGGACTAAGTGACCACTCGGGGCTCTTTAGCCGACAGGACCTTCCTGGGACTATGAGATGTCAGAGACACCAGGTAGTGGTAGTAGCAGGAGATACGGAGGGGGCTGAGTGGGAATGGGTGGGGCTCTGGGTGGTGAAGATTCAGTGGCCATGACCTCTGCTGAGGGTCTTGTGTGTGCCAGACCTTGGGCATATTATGTACCTCACCTCACAGATGAGGAAACAGGCCCACAGAAATTAAGTGACATGTCCACATAGCAAGAGGTAAGGTGGGATTTGAACTGAAATCTAACTCCATAGGTCTGTGCCCTTGAACCTTGGGCAATGACACTAGAACAAGATGTGGCTTAGCACCTGCTGGCCTACAGTGTCAGTGAAATGAAACAAATAAAAACCAAACCTCAGCGTGGAGGTTTCTGGCCTGGTCCAGAGCTGGTGCTGACTCTGAGCCCTGGAACCAGTGCCCTTTGTGAGGCGGCCCTGGGAGCTGGCAGTGGGTTCCATCCTTTTGCTGGGGGAGGGGCAGGTGGAAGCCAGGAGCCAGGACCTGAGTAGGAGATGGTTCTCACCATGCTGGGGGCTCTGTACCCCAGGGCTGGGCTGAGCCTCTTCCTCCTCTACCTCGTCTTGGCAGCTGCACTCCTCCGCCCCCAGCCACTGAGGTAACTCGGAGCACAGATTTTTTTTAGGGCCCAGGGCCTGGAAGGTGGGACTCCGCCGTGTGGCCACCCTCCCTCCCCTGCCAGGAGAGGCTGGCACCATTACCCTGGTGTGTATGGGGGCTTGTGCAGCCCCCTACCCTGAGCCATTTCTTACTTCAAAGTGGTCTTTGGAGCTAGGGCTGAGCACCCCAACGCTTCCCACAGGCCTCAGCGATCTGTTCCTGAGGAATTTTCAGCTCCCCTGGAACTCTCACAGCCATTGTCCGGCCTCGTGGATGGTAGTATCTCTCATCTCTCCTCCTCCCCCTTCCCTGCACTACCCTCGCCCCTCCCTGAGCGGAGAGACATGCCCTAGGGAAGGTACCTGGGTCCTCCAGCCTCGGGGTCTTCAATTCCAAACAGTATCTGTTCAGGGGTGACTTTAGTGGATTCAAAACCAGACTCTCCCTCCCACGCATACTCTCTTCTCTCTCTTTAGACTATGGGGTCCGACCTAAGCACCCATGGCCACGAGGGCCTCGACCCCTCCTCTCCCGAGCCCAGCAGCGCAAACGTGACGGGCCGGACATGGCTGAGTATTACTACGATGCACACCTGTGACGGGATCCCCTTATAAAGCTATTCTGTGCAGCAAAGCCTTGGGCTTTCCTGGGATGGAGATGAGCTGGGCATGGGAGGGGTCAAAGTAGACACATCCACTTCAATCCAGACAGGAAATGGCACTTTAATAGTTGTGGCCAGGGTGACAGGACCGAGATGGGGCTACAGCCAAAGCAGCCAAGAGGCCCTGCTGGCCCAGGCCGGTCTAGAAGGCTTCTTTTCCTGCCCGGGCGGGGCCCTGCTGTAGCTCTCTCCTTCCCTGTGAGGCCCCACACCTAACAGGGGCCAGCATGCCCATGAGGTTGGCGGGGGAGCCATCCAGAGGCCACATAAGTGACAGAGCTGGGAACAGGGACTGCACCTCCACCTGCTGCCGTTTCCTTACTAGAAAGTCCTCGGGAGGCGGCTGGGCTCAGCTTGACCTCGGGGCCTTGGGTTGGGGTTGGGAGTTGGGGGCAGGGTGGGCACTCGCAGGTGGCATGGGCTTCATCAAGGCAGAAGCCAATGGCGAGGGAGCCAGAGGCCCTGGCAGGGGAAGCGAGCCCCAAGATGGGATAGAACCCTCTGCTCTTGGGGTGGGCATCCTTCCTGGCCAGAGGCCCAATACCCACCAGCCCCACTCCCTCCCAATCCCCGGGCAGCCCGCTCTGTCCTCCATAGATGAATCTAACCCCTTATATTACAATAAACTGCATTTACCTCTCCCCGTAACCCCCACCCTCCCCCACCCTCGGCCAATGGCCCTCACTTCTCCATCCTCTGGTGGTGGCGGGTGCCCCTCCTCAAGCAGTGCCACTTCCTGTCAGCAGCCAGGTGTCCTGGCACTGGCCTGAGAGCCTGGGGGATGCAGAGGGCGAGGCAGCGCTGCTACTCCAGGTAGATATCTTCTGTGGGGCAGGTGTACTCCACAAACTGCTTGTAGAACTGCTGAAATGCTCTCCTAGGAGGTAGGCAGACACACATGCTGACTAGGGAGGAACAGGAACTCAACCCAAGTTTTCCAGCTAGAGCCTCGGTGTCCCTGGGTGGGACTCCTGTTCCTCCAGCTGGAGCTGCTCAGCTTTGTTCTCTACAAATTCTGCTTCCTGAATGAGAGTGCAATTGAAGAAAGGGTCCAGCAGCTAAAAAGTTTGGAAGCTGCTCCTCAAGACCACCAAGGCCTCTCTCCAGGCCACCACACTATGACCTGGAGGCGGTGTGCAGAAATGGGGAAGGACTGAGGGATGACGCTGAGCACAAGGAATGTGCTCGAGGGCCAGGGAGCGGGGCTAGCTGGCAGGCCTAGCACTTGACAGGAAACACACATACGTACCCCACGGATTCTGCCAGGACTTTGGTGGATTCTTCAGACACAAAGACATGGCAGGCAAACCGGTGGTCGGCGGGGTGCTTGGTGATAAACCCAAAGTACCTGTGGGAGGACAGCAGTCTGGGTAGGATGGGGCTCAGACCGCTCCAGGCTCACTCTCACCCTACGCCCTGCCATAATGGCTCCAGGCTCCCAGACCACACCTTGACCTCTGGTCCCATCCCACTTACTTGTTGTTCTTTGGGTGGTAACCGCAGAAAGAGATGTTTTTTAACTGGAAAAAGTGGCTACATTTATTTCCCTACCGGAGGGAAGAGGAAAAGAGGGTGGTTACCAGTCTGCAAGGCGCACAGGTGGGAAATCTGGTGGGAGAGCCGAAGGCAGGGGCCAGAGTGGTCACCTTGGCCTCCTGGGAATCATCAGCCTTGACACCTATCTTCACGCCTCTCACGCTGATCTCTAGGACGCAGCTGGAGGGCGGGTTAAAGTGCACGGTGAGCCGGCGGGTGGTGGCAATCTGTGGGTGAGGAACAGGAACATCAGGTGCTGGGTGTCCCTCTCCCCAGGGGAGGACGTTAACTGGGCTAGGGGTGGGCACCCACCCCAGGGAAATAGGGAGTAGTTACCTTTTGCATAGCGGCACAGAGGACGTCATTGCCCTTGTGGTAGGGAACCTGGACTGAGCCCAGGAACTTTACCCGGAACTGGTCCACCCAGTCGCTGTTTTTGGTCAGGGCTGGAAAGCAAGAATGAAGTGAGGAGTTGGCAGAGCCAGTACAGGGTGTTAAAATCCATGGATGTCCCAATTTGGCTGGGCCTCACTTTGTGAAATGGACCCAAAGTCACCTCTGCTTAGCCCACTCCCTGGGTGGTTGAGATTTGGAGCAGAGGTTCACCTGGCAGTAAATCGGGGAAGGGCAGGTGGCACCAGGCAGGGGAAAAGGAACACTACCTGCCAAATGTTCAGGTTCCTTAGTGACCTCGATGGCGTAGTAGGCAGGAAAGATGCCCCGGACCCCCGTGCGCATGTTGTAGGCCTCGTACCAGTAGTCCTCAGCCTGCAGCTCCACCAGCAGAGGATCGTCCACTTCTAGCTCAAGTTCGTCTTCATGTCGAGGCACAAACCTGTCCCCAAAGAGGGCACGTGAGGACTTTACCATCAAGGCATCTCCAGCCAGGCCATCCATCTACTCTGGGGTCTGGGAGCTGCATTGGCATCATTATTAGTTCAATAAACATTTGCAAAGCTTCCAGTGAGCCTGTCAGTGCCAGCTCAGGGGGAGACCAAGGTCAATCAGACATGCATCTGCCATGGATAAACTCACAGGCCAAGGGAGGAAATGACCAGAGCCACCGGTAAAACTGTGAGAAGTCATGGGAAGCAAGCACTTCCACATGGAGGAGGGTGAGGGCTGCGGTTTTGTGTGGGGTCAGGCATCATTTTTGCTGGGCACCCTCCTGGGCTCCACACCCTGGTCAGATCAGATGCCTAGTCCTGAGCTCCAGTAGCACAGCAAAGGCCACACTGCACCGAAACCACCCATTCCATCACCACACTCTGAGTTCCCAGAGGGTGGACACTGTCCCTGGGGCCGAGTGGAAGAATGAATGCCAGTGGTGGGCCATGGGGTAATGGCAGAGGCAGGGAGGGGGTGGCCCCAACTGTTGCCTGGCCAGCCCAGCTCAGGTGCTCCTACCTGAATATGGCCCGGTGGGTCTGCTCCTGCTCCTCCCCGTTGATGACACAGGAGAAAAGCCCAAAGGATTCTGCACCTGTAGGTGAGGGGGACGGGCTGGAGGAAGACAGTCCCAGCTCTGGTCGAGGTTTGAGGGGCAGGTAGAGAGCTCCCAGGCCTTACTCCTTAAACCAGAAGGGCCTGAGGCCACCTCCTGGGAGTACCCTCATTTTGACTCTCCCCACTAGGGCCTCCCTCAGCTCCCCACTGCACACTCACTGGAGGATCGAGAGCGGCCACTCATGAAGACGTTCAGGAACTTCTTGGAGAAGTGGACGTCGGGTTCGTCGGGTGTGGAATCCTCGGAGAGGCAGGCGGAGGGCCGTGGCCGGGGGGCCTCCTCATATTCCTCCCCGATGGCCGACTCGTAGGGTGAGGAGGCCGAGGCGCAGTTGTCATAGACAGTGGCTGAGTCACTCTCGTCGCTGTAGTCTCCGAAGCATGGCCGCAGGCTCACAAGCTCCAGCTGCGCATGCTCATCCACCACCAGCGTGTACTTGACAGAGTCGTAGGACAGTGCGCTGGTGTCCGAGCTCAGTGAGGCCCGTGGAGGGGGCGGTGGCTCCCCCAGGCTCCCCCGCCACCCTCCACCTGGTGGCTCAACTTGCTCTGGGGACGACAAGCAGTCGAATCCCTCATCCTCCTCACTGATGGAGGGGTGTGGTCGCCCTACAGTTGAGGAGTAGGCAGCAGGGTCTGGATCAGAGCTGACTGACATCCGGCTCTCAGCTGGCGGCAAGAAGGCGGAGGTGGGCTCTGCAGGGTCTGGGGGCCTCTGCACTGGTGTCAGGTAGATCTCCTCAGTGGCCTCTAGACGCACATCTGCTTGGTAGTGGATACGGTCTCGATGCGAATGGCCCCGGCCACCAGGTGGGGCAGCAGGAGGGCCACTGGGAGGCGCCATCTGGGTGGCAGCACTGCGGCGGCAAGGACTATCGGTGGAGGTGCCTCGGTCCTTGGTGGGGGCGGGGCTGCTCTGGGGTGGCAGCTCATCACTCAGGCAGATGTGTTCATGTGGAGGTGTTTGCTCCCCTGGAGAGCAAGCCGGTCAGTGCTGAAGGCAGGTGCCTTCACCCTTGACTCCCAAGCTACCTGCTCCCTCCACTCAGCACGGCCACTTAGCAATAGGCCAGCCCTGGAGCCAGCCTTCTCATTTGTGTCACACCTGACCCCAGATGGGTCTATTCAAGGGTGCACGATAGATAGTTTATCTCTACCTGCCAGCTGGAGACTGATGGGTTTGCTCTCTGCAGTGCAGACTGGGTCAGGGCAGGTGGGAGTCCAGGTAAAGGAAAGGGTCCTGACTTACCTGTCTTCAGGGGTGAGGATGATCGAGACACTCGATCCTGCCAACTGTGCTTCTTGCCCAGAGAATTATTATTCAGCGTGTCCTGTGCAGAGAACAAAAGGCCCTGTGACAGAAGCGATCAACAGTGCCCGGCACAGGGAGGCCCTGGCCCTGCCCCCATCAGGCCATCCCTACGCTATTTGCTGCACCCCCACCCTGACCACTTGTCCAGGGTCTCACCGCCAACCCCCTCTGGAGCAGGCAGGAAGAGTGGCAACTCCCAGCCCTCCAAGCCATGCCTATTGGCTTTAGCTGGGCCTCCTCCTGGCTTACAGAAGCCGGCCCACCCTCAGGGAGATATTCTTATCAGCCTCCCCAAAGGTGGTGATGGCCACTGTGTATGATGGTGAGAGAGGGAGGAGGTGGAGGGAAAAGCAGAAGCCATCTGGGGACAGCCAGACCCCCAGTCTCAAACACTGAGGGTTTACACGAAAATGCTCACTTCCATCCCAAGTCCCCTGGAACTAAGGAAGCTACAGCCTAGGGAAGGGGCAGGGACATTCTAATAGAGCCTGAAAAAAGCACGAGGAAGGGTCTTCCCAGCAGCTGGCCTGGGGACTGGGATGAATCATCCAAATGACAAATCCATAACATGGTTCCCTCACCCCCCAGGAGCACATGACTGAGGGATGACAGATGTAAGC